TCCACTCTGGCACTCAAGGGTGATTCGTTAATACTGCCTGGGTGTGTTTTTTCATCAGAAGAAACTGCCTATCCTGATACGATGCTCAAATCTCCGCATCGTAGGTGGACACTGCTCGAAATCTTCCTTTAACTCCATTCTGTGTTAAAACAAAATGAAAACACAAATCGGCAAACAAGCTCTTGGGAAATACCTCTTGCCGTTGCATCCCAGATTCCACCAGGCGCTCCGGGTATCCATTCCGGATCAAGATATTCCGCACATTTTGGAGTTCTTCAACCAGCATGTCCTTCGTGCAAACTTTTTCTAGCTCTATTGACCAAACCAAGTATGAGATTCTTCTTCATATTGAATGGTACAAAGCTCGTTCCAAGTCGTCTTCCTGTGTACTGATCGCCTGATGGATCCGTCATCACAGCGAGTTAGGCAAACATCTAAATATGCTAGTTGGTTGTTTGCTTCATTTTTAATCGTGAATTTCAAGTTCCGATGTGCAGCACTGAAATGATCTGGTATGTGTGGGCACTCCGTTGAAGAATCGATCACGCAAAAGATATCGTCTACGTAACGTTTGTATAGTACGCATTGTTTGATACATGTCTGAGTGGATCGTTTTTTTTATTTTAGACATGAAAACATCAGCAAGCACTCAAACTCTCAAGTGAAGAAAAATCAGAGCAAGTGATAATTGAGGACCAATTACGAAACAAACTGTTGAATACGTTAATTACTTTCGCTCTTTTTTTGTCATTGTGAATCCTTCTCTGACACTATAGTTATATTTATTGTGTTGTGATGGCGTGATTAAGACACATTGAAAACAAGCTTGTTTGCCAATTCGTGTTCTCATTATGAGTTCTGTGGGGCTGTTTCAACATTTAAAACAGAATCATGTAGAATTCGGCATGTTCAACCAGGAAACTCCAATGTATAGACCAGTCGTATTTGACAGAATCATGGATTTTATGCGAAAATAACAAGTTGGTGGGTTTATGCCTCACACAGCCTAGATTTAATTCCCAATGAGAGCCATATGGAGATGCCAGTACAAGGGAACCATAAAAAACGGACGTCAATTTCAGACGGTAAAAGAAATGAAGTGGCCTTTACTTGCATATTTGAAGTGTTAAAAAGAAAAACGACGATACTCTCAAATTACTTGTGCACAATATGCATCGATGATATATACATGACAGAGTTGTGTTGAAGGGGAACCGATCAAGACAATTTACTCCGGCATGCACCTACAATTGACTATTTCCACCCTAACACTTCTTTTGCGTGATTTGTCAGTCGTATCCTGGTCTCATTTAGATCGAAAGCAAAAGTCCATCAATGATCAGTCAATCAATCAATAAGAAATCGAAAAGAAGCAACCAGTTTCATGAGTGGTAGGGTTTTAACCGAATCGGGAGATGAATATACCTGATATAGGTTAGTGCTACGTGGAACCACCATCGTACAGGCGTCACTCTTGCTGATCCCCCTAATAGGTTTACCCCGTCATCATGCCAACATTATCGTTGACTAACTATGACCGAATTTGATCAATGGGTATCAATAGTTAGTCCGAAAAAAAAACGAACACGGAGAGGAGACTAACCCCACACAGAAAATTCTATCCTTCCCCCATGAATTATCCCTACACGGAAAGGTTAATCTCGATTTACTTTCAGCTATTATTCTGCAAACCGTACGCGAACCGAACTATCAAACAGATTAGACTTTTGGTCCTGCTATATACTGATTTCAATGATTCCGAATTATGAAGTCATAAGTTTGCGAACGGTATTATGACTTCTTGAGTTGTACTCATATTGCATACAGTCAAGTGCCAATTTTATTCTATCATCTCAACTGTTCCCCTTGGTAATTCACACCAGGTCACCT